GCGTCTTCCGTAATTTCCTTCCACTCTGGAAGGAAAGCAGAAAGACGACCCCCCACAGGAAGATCTGGTCGAGGCAGATCGAGACCTTGCCAGGCAAGAGAATCGTCTGCTGACCCGAAGCCTAATCCTGCGGGAGAAGGACCTAAGCTTGAGCCGAGAGGACTGCATTCCTCCCGGCCAAACTCGTCGTCTGACACGACCAAGGAGGGAAGAAAAGAGTCAGGAACCCTTCTTCTTACCCCCAGGAGGGTTCTTACCCTTCTTACCCTTCCATTTGTTGCCCTTGAAGGGAGGCTTATACTTGGGCTGCGCAGAGGACTGCGAAGCCGAAGGTTTAGCCTTCTTCTTAGGAGGCGCTGACCCCTGCGAGGTACTGGCCTTCTCAGCCTGAATCCTCTTCACCAGAAGTGCAGAGGCGACCGAGTCCTCCTTCAAATCCTTCTGAACAGAAGGAAGGGCCCCTCCAAAAAGAGTGGACCCTGAGAAGGGGGCAGTCAACAGTCTGGAACGGTAAGGCTCATCGACCGGGCGATTTTTCAAAACTGAAAACCGCCTAGCCAACAAGACATTGACGAGGGATGACACCTGTAAAGCTGCCAGCGCTCTCAATGCCCCGTTCAGGGCAGAGGTCACTCTGTCCTGGATGTCGGCCTGCTCTGTCTCGGTAATCCGACCCTCAGGCAAGTCGGATACCCTATATAGACAAACCGTCAAGTAGTCTATATACGACAGAATCTGGATGGAGAGACGCAGCAGTCTCTCCATCTTGTGGTGTTCTTTGGGACCGAACACCACCTGGTCCACCGATTTACCGGGCCAAGCTGCAAGTTCCCTCGATTCCAGCTTAGCTGGTTGAGGGGCAAGCAGACCATCATGTGTGGCATAGTCAGTGGCGTGCACCTCTGACAAATCGCCAACACTGAGCTGCAACCCAGCATACCCAGGACTACGGGTTGAAGAAGAATTCTTCCCTAAAACCCGAGACTGGGCGGTGGCCAGAGCTGAAGACACAATGGTGCCTTCTGGCAGAGAGCGGTCCGACCGAGCGGACACCCGAGGAGCCACCAAAGAACCCAAAAGGGTGGTGGACTCGGGGACAGATGATGCCGAAGGTGGTGGGCAAACCTCCTCCCCAAGAATCCGGGAAACGTCAGCCCTAAGGCCCCGCATACCGGATAACACATGCTGGGCCTCAACCTCAGCAGCCTCAGGGTCTCCCTCATCCTGGAAGTCCTCCTCTGAGGGCAAGCCCTCCTGAGGACTGTCGTCAGACGACTCGGAAAGACCAGCGTCTATATCCGAACAACCAGGTGAAAGATGAACAACATCATTGTCCTCTGCCATACCCGCGCCCTCAACGTCCATAGCCTCCACACCATCCAGACCAGAAGCCTGGGGCGGAGGAAATGGGCCAGCCAGAGGGGCCAACCCGAGAGAAGGCTCCCCGTACCGGCGTTTAGGTGCAGTGCGCCTAACGGCCGTGGCTGTAGGTTTAGGCTTAGTAGCCAAAACCCTACCCTTGGACCCAGAGACCAACGAGCCTGCCCGAGAGGCAGAAGTCCTAAAGGTCCGACACACCTTCTTAGGACCGGCCGATAAGGCCCCCGAAGTAGCAGAAAGTTGGGGGGGGTCAACAGAACTGCTAACACGTCTCCGCGAGGGAGAGACCAAACCCCAAGGATTCCATGACGGAAATGCCATGGGGTTAAACCCATATCCCGGAGGATAGGGGAAAGGTCCCGCGGGCTGGGAGTGACCCCAGAACTGGCCAAACTGGCCTGCCTGAGACTGGGGCTGGCCAACTTGCCCAAAGGGCGAAGGTGGACCGCCACTCCCTCCAGGTGGAAACCCGGACATGTACGGGCTAAGCCCGTAACTGCCGGGATGCTGCCGCAACCCAAAACCATCCGCAGGCTGGTAAGGGCGGCCCAAGGATGGTTGCCCGCAGGCACCCGTATACCCTAAGCCAGGGGAAAACGGAGGCCGGAAACCGGCCCCCTGTCCAGCAAACCCAACCCCTGGGGGGAAACCCCCCAGGTTCCCAGAAGAATGAAACTCGGGACCGGACCTAATAGGACCGGGTCCGGGTAACTGACCGGGAGGGTATGCCTGACCAGCATTGATGCCGGGATTAGTGAGCTGCGCGTCACTAATCCCGGTAGACACAGACAATCCCGAAAGAAAGTCTGTTGTCACACCAGGACCTGAACCCGAAAGAACAGGCCCGGCACCAAGACTGTCCCCAACGACAGCACCACCTGGAATGCCGGGATCACTGACAGAGTCAGTGACCGGCGGCCGGTAGTCCCTACCCGAAGGCAAGCGCGAAAGCTTACGGGCGTTCCCGGCCAATTCGACCCTTGGCTGTGCCAAGCCAGGGTCAGGCTGCCCCTCCCCTACTCCAGGGAGTTCCTGGACAGGAAGGGCCACCCCCTGCTCACGAGAGGGACTTGCCGAAGCAAGACCCCCCGAGACAGGAACAGAGACAGTACCACCAGACCCCAGAGAGCTGGTGGCACGACCCCTACCTCTCTGCTTCCCTCGCTTACCGGAAGAAACAGACGAATCTGTCTTACGGTAAGTTGAGGGTAGCTTTGGAACAATGAAGTCCTTGCCCTGAGATTTTGACTGTGAACAAAGTTCACAAGGCGAAACCTCACTGCAAGGACGACACCTGGGACAGGCATCATGAGGGTCCCGTTCCACAAAGAAATGGGAACACCCATGAGCACTACCTCGTCGCTGTCCCGACCGAGACATACCCTCCAAAGCGAACGTAAACAAAAAATTTACAAGCAGATAAAACGGGAAAATAAGGATAAAATACGATAGTACAAAGTACGCAACGTAGAAAGAATTTCACCCGTAATATAAATCAGAAAACGGTTAAAATAAATAACGTTTGCCGAAACAAACAACCGTCACCGAAATAAACAGAGGTCGGAAATTAACCCACGATAATGGCGGACCGTGGCACACCACCGGCACACGTGGAGTAAAATAACCGGCCGTAAAAGGCACAAAAATAATTTTCAACAACAATTAGTTATATCAATAAAGGCAGATGGGTATAAGGCACACAAACTGCGCAAAAATATGAGTTGACACTCAAACCAAACCGACAAAACAATGTTTTGAATTGGAGCAAGCTCCGTGCGTCAGCATGCAGCAGGCGCCATAAAAGGAAGAGGAAGGGAGATCACTCCGTGGCTCTGTCATCGAGATAGAGGTTACGTCACGGTAGGGAGGTAGGGATATTTGAATCTTTTGTTTTTGGGCTACAAAGATGGGTGTAGGTATTGTATATGCATACTAAAGTTATGGTAATTATTACTGAAATGAAAGTGTCCATCGTGTAATTGCATTTTGCCCAGAACAGCTCTGAAAGCTATTACTATCCTCTATGGTTAATAACTTTGATTCCGTCACACCGCTATCTGAATGTAATCACTAATTCCATAATACTCCTTTTTACCATTATGTGTTTTACCACGCGTGTCGTGTAGACAACCTTCACACCAGAACACGTCCATGGATATATAGAAATAGGCCACTCATGTACATCAAACGGATATCAAAGACAGTGAAATAAACGATGTTTTTATACTGGATCTTACTCCTCATTTTTAACTGCTATTTCTTATCTAGATTGTTTTCAAAATTTAACCTTTATTTTATAATGTCGTCTTAGATTAAAGGCATGAGCAGGCTTGACTCTATGCTCCAGAACAAATTTATACGATAAAGTTTTAACTTTGGGATTCGATTATACCCCGTGCTACATGTATGTTACCACTGTCGTATACTTTTTTTTATTAACTATTTATTACAAAAATAGAAAATTAACACAACAGTAAATGGCTAAGGCAGACAGACAGACAGGCTGGTTTTTTGTTGTTGTAATCACATGTTATTACCACTGGTGTGGTTTCAGGATGTGTCATTGCCACGTACATGTATTATACCTTCACATGGAATATTCAGTTACATCAGTAGTCAACCTATCGTTTCACATAAATATTTAGATTAAATGATTTTTCAAATTGTTTTATCCATGATAATCGTTGTTTTTTCTTAAACATTGCATATTCTTTCATTTTAAATAACGAAATTGAAAAAAAAAATTCGCCTTTCAGTTAGAATATCATATGGTTTGGAGATCAATTTAAAAACTAGACGGGATACAATAAATGTACAGAACAGAGACATCTCTGATGAATAATCCAGATAACGGGTTTCCACATGTTGAATGTTGACAACGAAAACCATTGTCAGGCAAACAATGATGTTGTCGGGTAACCCCTAGTGTTATCAATGATGAGCATGGCCTACCCCGAGACCAGGCTACGCTACTACTACAGAACTCCTGATCGCTGGCTAACTATGTCAATATAGATACAATCATCAGGACACACTGCATAGTCTCCCTTGTAAATGTATTGGTCATTTGAACATTCAATTCATTGTCAACATGCGATTGTCGTTAGTATAGTGACTGCTATACTGTACACCTCGTATACTCTGTCAGAGAGAAAATCGTTTTAGAATGATGTTTGAAATGTTTTTGGTGTTGGATAAGTGAAGTGATGTTTGTTAAACTTCGGTATGGTTTGTTGACGGTGTTGCAGACATATGTTGTGATATTTGTAAGACTTGCTTTATGATTCTTGTACGGCGTTATATTTGTTTGTTGTTGTATATTTAAGAACTACAGTACGATTTGATTACAGTGCCGTATTTGTGGCGTTATGTTGGTATGATTTGCCGAGCGATTTGTTTACGTGTACATGTGGTTTGGTGTTTGAAAAATTGCCTGTGAATGCCAGTTAAAAACCATTTAATGCTTTAATATATATCGTTTTGGGTATGTTACTGTCGTCCAGGTTACCAAATGATTTGTTTACGATGTAATGCATGAGCTTTGTTGTTTGTTAGACTTACAGTACGATTAGTTTAAAATGGTGTATACGTGTTGCACAATTCCTTTTTTTATATTACAGATATGGTACATCGTGCTGTGCGTTTCTATCGTGCTATCTACCGCCATCTTTATCGTGCTGTCTATCCCGGAATTCCGTGTGGATGCTCCGAACACTCTTCCGTTTCCGTACAATATTACGTCTGAGCCGCTCCTCATGTATTGGTACACAATGCCACACCCAGTACTCATGATCAGTGACGGGATCTTCAATTTTATCTTCATGGTTGACTGGCTCCTTAGGCTATACTCGTGCCCTAATAAGAGGGAGTTCATGATGGGGTTCCTGAACATATCTGACCTTGTGGCCTGGGTGGCTATCTGGAACATCCTCTGGATCGAGTTTTATCGAGACGTCTTTCATTTTAAAGGCGCATTCTTCGTGTTGTTCGTGATCGGGACGTTGTATGCCAGTAGGATTTTCAGGGTGTTTAGATTGATGCAGCATAACTGCGGTGTAAAGATTCTATTACTCGCTCTGAAATCCAGTGCGCGTGAGTTATGCATACTAGCTATAACGTTCGCCTGTGTCTCAGTTATATTCGCGTTCCTGCTATATATGTCAGAATTACAAAGCACCTCCAACATTAGATTTCCTAACGCCCTAACGGCAATCTGGTGGGCAATAGTCACCATGACAACAGTGGGATATGGTGACTTTTACCCTACAACCCCTCAAGGGTATTGTATTGGTGCTCTGTGCTCACTTACTGGCATTTTGCTTATTGCACTTCCGGTCGCGGTGACGTCATCGAACTTTAGTGACTTTTATAATTTTAATAAATTTAGGGCTAAATATCAAGAGGCGCTTACAAGGGAAGGGAAACAAATCCCTGAACACAATAAGGCGGTATCGGAAGTACCTGCCACGTATGTGTAGATGTATGCTGAACTGGCAACCACGCCCAACATAAATGGTCACGTACGATGGAGGTAGAGGCCACACTGAAACCATTTGCTATTGAGAGGTTAACAGTATTTCCTCTACATTTCACAGAACTCTGTCTCCCGTTTTACCCGCTCAGGATGTATTTGACACTCCCTCGGGTATAATGTTCTATCACTGCCTAGGGTATGACTTGATAGCACGCAGAAAGAAACAATAGGATGTCGTCTAGGGAAAATACATCCTGACGTCATGATAAGCTGCTTTCGACCGGAGAGGTCGATTTAAATTCAAGATAAAACACAGATTTCCAATTTTGATAATCAATGTTTTCAAATATATTATTGATAGGATGGGGGAAAGGAATCGTTTGCTACGTTGAAGGTATGACGGTATCGGAGCCCTCGGGGCGAGTTTCTTAAATGTCTAATCTTAGGCTTGAAGGAGGTACCGGGTTACACCATCACAAATATTGTCCCTCAGATAGAGTTTTCTCTGTCATGCTCTCACAGTAGGGGAAGATTAATATCCAGATAGTACCTGTACGACTTATTAGAATGCGTCGTGGAACTTGTCCGACAAATGAACATGCTGCAGGGTGATATGAATCTTTTATAGTCTATTAAACTTATATTTCCCTTGGACTCTTGATTGCTTTTTTGAGATAATATCTTTGATTTTTGTATCTGTGAAATCGAAATTAAAAACTTGTTTTTGTATATTTTATACTATCACCATACATACGTTAATCATTTTTTCAAGAAGGTTATTTCAATACCGATATTTCGCTATAGTTTGTGCCTGATTGAATAGCATATGGTACATGTATGTGCTTACGTTACATGCAAGCTTTGTATCACTTGATTGTCCAAGTAAACGGAATGTTTGTGTATCTAGATATATGTATCTATTATGTTCTGTAATATACGCGTGTATCTTAAATTTCTAGGCATTTGGAAACCTGGCTGGGTAATAGGCAATGGTACCACTACTAAACTTAATTCTGCTGTTAAGTCATTATGTCTTTACTTTTAATATCTGTGCTTTCTTGAGGTTCCAATTCAACTACATAGATGTTTGTCGTCGCCGTTTTCCATCATCTAAACGAAAGATCTGACACACGAATGAGTCACGTCCCTTGCCAGTTCCTGGACTTATATAAAGCACAGACAAACTGTAACACCGCGGACACACGTCGAGATACCAGGTATCATGTATCCAGTAAACAGAATGTCCACCCACGTCGGCATTTCCTTTAGATCTTCCTCTTCTTTAGCGGTAACTCTATGCTTATATTAGTCACATCTTACATCGTTAGTATCATAATCGGAATAACTTGATATTTCCTTGACCTTTCTTTTACCCCTTTACAACTGAAAGACATATGATTAGGAAGAAAACAAATGCGACCTTGCGCTAAACAATCCTACAATGATGAATTGAGAGAGGCACTCTCCTTTTCAGAAGAGCTTACTGGAAGTTCGCATCGGCAAACTCAGCTGAGCTTGAGTTTACAAGTGTTGTGGTATCAATTTTGATGGTAAATCTCAACAAAGTTTGAGCTTGAGAATTTAGGAAATGTTTTGATACCGAAGCCTGGTCTTTTATTTGTTAACTTTCTTTAAAGATCATCTATTTTATCAAAATAAGTAATTAAAGGGAATGAATAATGAGCTTTTCATATTTATCTTCATTTGTTTGCGCATATAACTTTGCTTTGTCTCGTAAGATTGTCTAGACATACTAGCGGTAAAAGTATTCAGATCAAGTTTGTCAGCTTGTGACGTCACATTGATTTCCGGGGTATATTTTTTGTAAGAAAAAAGTATGGAATAAACAGAATAACTAACAGTGTCTTTAGTAATACAAAATATATCAAAAGATGTTAAAATGTTAGCCACACTCGTGAAATAAATATTTGATATTACTAAAGACATTGTTAGATAATCTGTTTATTACATACTTTTTTTTACAAAAATATACCCGGGACGCGATGCGACACAACAATCTAACTTTACACACCATTTCACGTGCGCGACGTCACAATAGGACTAAAATCACGGAGTCTTTAATAAGGAGAAATTCCGATGCCGCGAGCGCGAAACTGCTGAACTGGTAATGCATTTACCGTTCAAAACGTTATTTGATGGTTTCTGAACTTCTGTCATTTCAAAATGAGAGAAAATTTACTATTTTTCTGTAAAACATGACATAAGAAAAATATGATGTACCTATGAATACTTAACCAGATGTTAGTGGAAGACTGTAACCAGCATAGATTGGTATCTCTCTGATTTCCTGGCCCATCAGTTCCTTATCTCCCATGGTAAAAGATAATATAGTATAAGAATTAAAACGCAGTATTACACGGTTAACACAAATACGCAAAACACATTAAAACTACATCAGACACATAAAACGTTAGACATCATTTAAAACACATTGAAATCATTGGTATAACAAATGATTTATCAGGCATTCAAATACAAGTAGAACAACTATAAATAGGCCCTCCAAGGTGTGAATCAGAATCTGGGATTACAAAACGAGTTTGACAACGGAGCGAGAACATGCTTACCTTTCCGGAACACCTTCACTTTTACGTTTCATGTTTGAAAGAAAAGAAAGGGATACACCTCTTAGCTAAAAAAAAAACCTCAATTTTATTCCTTAATATCCTACATATGGGTTCATGCAACAAGTCTGAAACAAACATTTTCTTCACAATTATAAGTGATGAAATGGTAGCTTTTACCTTCACATGTAAAAATGCAATAGAATACTTAGGAAGTTGATTTAAAATACAAAACATTTTTGCACTTAACAAATCTCAATGCACGCTCCTGGATTTTTCTAACATTATGTATCTTAGTAAAATGCTAACCTTAAAGACAAAGCTTAACTGGACATCATAAAGAAGCGTAAAGCGTTCTTTTCCATCCCAGTTACATGTAATGACGAATATTCAAATAAATCAAATTGCAATGAGCTGTCTAAAGACCCTCAAACAAATATCAGTGACACACACAGTTTCTTTTAATGTTAAGGGCCAGATACCCCATTTAAGGTGGCTCCACACATCGTCATCAGCGTCCATTTTCGTGACGTACTTCCGGAAAAAGTACAGCTCGAACTCAATTATCTTGATCGAAATGTGCATGTACACCGTGTCGTCATTTCCGTATTGCGTATCGGGCATTCAATATCGTAGTGCAAATTATAGTAACACCTGGGCCGTTTTCGTTTAAACGGTCAAACCGATCGGACCACTGTTGTTCGTTTTTTAAATAAGGTCGGACCTAGTAATCTGATGCTGCTTTCAGGCGAGCCTTGAGAAAGCCTTGCAAGGCCTGCATACATATTTGCAGGTCCGCCAGGATTTATACCCGAAATTGTTACATTTATAAACGGTCAAACCGGTTGCTCCGCATAAACGAACAGGCCCCTGGTAAACAATAGTACACGTGCGTGCCGATGATATGTCAACACCCGATATCGAGATTTTACCGGGAAATGTATAATAACACGTACTTCAGGAATAAAGCTTTCCAATTCATAGACATAAACAGACTCACGGGAAGACAGTAACATGAGACCAAACGACCTCAAGAAGGTCATATAGGAAACGCATGGAATGCGACGTACCGACTTCACATGTGCAACACGAGTTCATAAGCTCGAGGTCGTTACCATTTTCGCTGTTGAGGGAGTTTAGCTCTGTCGATTAAATCGTGTTTACAAATGTAGTCTACTTACTCTGTGATTTTTTTTTGCAAAATATCAAGATACCTATGAAATGCATGTGCGAGTGCACGTGAGAACGACATACCATGCGATAGCCTCTGGTCACATATGTACCTGACATGTAATTATAAATATACCGTGAGTTAGCGGACTGTACGTGGAATGATGTCCAAAGTGTACATGACTGAGGGTAATTTGGTTCCATTAAAGAACAATAAATTGATAATTTTGATATCATATTTTTGATTTATTTCCATCGTTTTTGTTATATGTAAACAGAGACAACTGCCATTGTGAAAATGTCACCCCTCTGCAAAAAGGTCCGATTTTTTTCAAGGAAGATAACTCTCACCCGGATCGAGGTGATTGTAAAATGTAAAATAAATTAATTATAAAGCCATTGTGTATATTTTGTTCAATTTCCCATTCTATATGTATAGATCTTTGTGTCCTGTTTGCTTTAAGCTTGTAGATTATCACTTTTATCCGTTCAAATTCAATAAAAAAAACACTTTGTGTAACATGTGTTACATATTTTGCGATAAATAAAATATTTGTAGGGTTCATTAGAAATGCTTCTTTTCACTTTATTATTGTTGTTATTGTTCCGAATAATGTCACACACACAAAAAAACGGAAAATAGTATTATTGACGGAAAATTCAATTTTTTGGTATTTTTTCCAAAAAAGTCCCCAAACTATCGGAATGTAAAGATTTTCATAAAATCAACTCTACATAGTTGCATAACCATTATATGAAAGTTTCAACGAATTTGGCTGGTTAATTGCGAAAGTGTGGAGCCACCTTAAGACGATATTTTGTTGCTTTTTAATGTTAGTCTCTACAAGGAACATCAAATATGTCTTGTTTGACCCTCAATTGTCCTTTTAAACCAATCGACAAAAAAAAAAAATCATTGTTGGAAGAGATGAAAAATATGTTTAAGCAGACACACTGGATCAAGACAAAACAAATAGCATCTTTAACAACAACATAAAGCCAAGCGCTCTGACAGACCAACACCAAATGTGGTATCTGTTGCCATGCCATATATGAAAAAGTGATTGACACTAGCGACCATAGACGAAGTTAACCGGTCTTTTTACCACAGTAGTTTTTAAATTCGAAAAGTTGGATGCTTAATCAGGCATCAACACACAATGCAGACGAACAACATTGATGGACATCATTGGAAGATAACCGAGAAACAAATTCCCCACATATTTGGGAAATGAGGGGACTAAACAGTAAATATTACATTTTCCAAATGTTAAGAAGTTGGTCGTCAAATCTAGGAACGCAAGTAAGTCACGTATAATCTAACACACGGTGGTCAGGTGTTTATGAAAGCACAAGGACAACTGTAAGCCCTCGTCGAATGGATGCCTTTCCAGTTAAAACACCTGGGGATGTATTCATGAAACTAATCGAATGCTCAAGCATGGGTTATGTGCTCAACCAACTCACCTTTCCAGAATTCTTCCAAATCTTTGACAAAAATGTAAAGTTTTAATGATTTATCAGCGGAACCAGATATTTGGCTTGAGCACAGAATGAAAATTTAAGCATAAGAATGATTTATCGAATAGGGACCCAGGCTTCGTTCAATAATGGTCAGAAGGAAAAATCATAAAACTTCTGTTAATAAGATTATACTTTGGAGTAATAGATCCATCATGTAAACTCAATATGCAGGTTGACTGTTATCGTACTTCTGAGGAGAGACAATTTAATGACCGTTGTATTGATTTCTTCACGTTTGTCATAGGCTTATTTAGTGAGGTGACAAACCACATCTTAATGCGATCGGGCAAGTATATTATCAGTTAGTTCCCAATCGCATACCGACAGTTGAAGTGTGTGTAATTTCTTAGTGGATGGTTGTTAGTGATTTATT